GTCCCAGCTACTTGGGAGGCTGAGGCAAGAGAATGGCATGAACCCAGGAGGCGGAGCTTGCAGTGAGCTGAGTTCATGCCACTGCACTCCAGCCTGGGTGACAGAGTGAGACTCTGTCTCAAAAAAAACAAAAACAAACAAACAAACAAACAAATTAGCCAGGCATGGTGGTGCATGCCTGTAATCCCAGCTACTCAGGAGGCTGAGGCAGGAGAATTGCTTGAACCCAGGAGGTGGAGGTTGTGGTGAGTCAAGACCATGCCATTGCACTCAAGCCTAGGTAACAGAGTGAGACTCCTTATTAAAATAAATAAATAAATAAATAAATAAATAAATAAATAAATAAATAATTTTTTTAAAAAAAGGCTTACTGCCCAAAGCAATTTACAGATTCAATACTATTTCTATTAAACTCCTAATGACATGCTTCACTGAACTAGAAAAACAACTATTTTAAAATGTATATGAAACCAAAAGAGAGCCTGAATAGCCAAGGCCATTCCAAGTTTAAAAAAAAAAAAAAAAACAATGCTGGGAGAACCACATTACTAACGTCAAACTATACTAGAGGACGACAATAACCAAAACAACATGGTACTGATACAGAGACAGGCATGTAGATCAATGGAACACAATAAGGAGTCCAGAAATAAGATCATACACCCATGACCATCTGATCTTCAACAAAGTCCCTGTGATTCTTATAAACACTAAAGCTTTTGTTTTATTGTCTGTTTGAATAGCTATTTTAAAGTAAAATTACATTACAATGAATTGAAAATATTTTTGTGAAATTTGGTAAGTTTGGGCATACTATACATCTGTGAAAACCATCACTACACTCAGTCTTGTAAATATATTCATCATCACCAAAAGTTTGCTTATGCCCTTTTTAATTCCTACCTTCCTACCCCTGCATGCCCCAGCTCCAGCTCCAGGCAACCACATATCTACCTTCTATCATGACAAATAATTACATTTTCCAACTTCTATACAAACTGAATCACACAGTATGCATAATTTCTTTTTGGTCTGATTCTACTTTCTCTTGAGTTAATATGTAATAGTGGAATGACTGGATGATATAAAACGTGTGTGACAAACATTTTTGGAAACTACCAGGTGATACTCCAAAGTAGTTCTACTATTTTGCATTCCCACCAGAAATATGTGAGAGTTCCAGTTCCTTTTACCAACACTTTACATGGTCAGTCTTTCTAATTTAACTATTCTAATAGATATGTAATGGAATCTCATTCTGGTTTTAATTTGCATTTCACTAATGCATGTTTGCCATGTGCTTATTTGACATTTGTGTATCTTTTATTTGTATAAATTTATTGTACAAGTGCAATTTTGTGACATGCATAGATTGTATAGGAATCAAGTTACAGCTTTTAGGGCATTCATCACCCCAATAACACACATTGTATCCATTAACTAATTTCTCATCATCTTCCCCCCATCTTCACCCTTCCAAGTGTCCATTATCTATCATTACACTCTCCATGTCCATGTGTACAAATTATTTAGCTCCCACATGAAGGAAAACATGCAATATTTGCCTTTATGCATCTGACTTGTTTCACTTAAGATAATGATCTTCAGTTTCATTCATGTTACTGCAAAAGACGTGATTTCATTTTTATGGAATAAATAGTATTCCATTGTGTAGAAGTATTGCCTTTTCTTTATCCAGTCATCTGTGGATGGACCCTCAGTTGATTCCATATATTTGATATTGTTGATAGGGTTGCAATAAACATACAAGTGTAAGCACCTTTTTAATATATTGATTTATTTTCCTTTGGGTAGATACACCATAGAGGGATGGCTGGATTCAATGATAACTTTATTTTTAGTTCTTTGAGAAATTTCCATATTGTTTCCCATAGAGGGTGTAAGAATTAACATTCCAACAATAGTGTATTAGAGTCCCCTTTCCTCTGCATCTTTAGTGATCTGTTCAAATCTTTTGCCAAATATTAGTTAGATTCATTTTCTAAATTAATATTATGGAGTTTTGAGAGTTTCTTATACATAATTTGAATACAAATTTTTTATCAGATATATAGGGTGAAATGTTTTCTCCAAGCATGTGAACTTTCCTTTCATTCTCTTAACAGTATTTTCAAAAGACTGAAGTCAAATTTAGCTCTTTTTTTCTTTTCATGGGTTGTGTTTTTCGAGTCATTAAAGAAATATTATATTCACTGAAAGTCACAAAAATGTTCTAATACATTTTCTCTTACAAGTTTTATTAGTTTTTTTTTTTTTTTTACATTAAGTGTAATGAAAAACAAAAAGTGTTCATGGTTAAAGGAATGGTTCTTTTTTTTTTTTTCTATAGGTTACCAATTATTCCAATTCAATTTTCTGAAAAAATGATTCTTTCTCTACTGATTTGCCTTTGCATATTTGTAAAAAGGGCCACATTTTGTGAGTCTATTTCTGTTACTTTCTTTCTATTCTTTCGTTTTGTTCAATTCATCTATTTGTGTATCTTAGTGCAAATACCACACTGACTTGATTACTGTAGGTTTGAAATAAGTCATAAAATCAAAAAGAGTAAATCCCCAATTTCACTCATCCTTTTCAAAGTTGTTTTGGCTATTTTAAGTTATTTGCATTTCCATAGAATGTTTACATCAGCTTGGCAATTTCTATTTAAAAAAAAAAAATCTGCTGGGTTAATAATTGGGAATGTGCTGAATCTACAGATCAGTTTGGAGTTAATTGAAATCTTTATAATATTTAGTCTCCAAACCAGGAACAAAATGTCATCTGTTAGTTTACTTAGGGTCTTCCTTATTTTCTCACCAATGCTTTATCATTTTAAGTTCACAGGTCTTCCACATCTTTTGTCAAGTTCTCCCTAAATATTTAACATTTTTGATGGAATTATAAATGGCATTGTTTTTATTTAAATTTCTGATTGTTTACTTTCTGTATTCTCATCTTGTATGCTGTAACCCTGTTAAATTCAAGGTTTAATTCTAGTATTAGATTAATTCTAGTAAGATTATATAGTATTTTATACATAGATAATTATGCTGTTTGCAAATAAAGATAATTTTACCTCTGTCTCTGTGATATGGATGCTGTTTATATTTTCTTTTCTTCTGTCACAGGTTGATGTTGAATAGTGGAACAATATCGAGTAGAAGTGGTGAGTAGACATGTTGAATCTTCATGATCTTAGAAAAAAGCGTTCAGTCTTTCAACTTCAAGTTTGTTGTTTTCTTCCTTAAATGTTTGGTAGAATTCACCAGTGAAGTTATCTAGGCCTGCAATTGTCTTTGAGGGAAGGTTTCTAACTACAAATTCTCTTTATTTAATAAATAAAGGGTTATGCTGATTACCTTTTTTTTCTTGAGTGAGATTTTGTAGTTTGCGTCTTTCAAGGAAAGAAATTTGTCTATTTCACACAATTGTCAAATTTATTGTATTGTTTAAAATATTCCATTATTATCCTTCAAATATCTTTAGTGATATTACCTCTCTCATTCCTGAAACTGATAATTTGTGTCCTTTCTTATTTCCCTAACCAATCTACTAAGCCTTCAATCAATTTGTTAATTTTGCTAAACAAACAATCGTTTGTTTTCATGAATTTTCAGTATCATGTTTCTGTTTTCTGTTTTGCTGATTTCCACCATAATATGTGTCATTGCCTTTCATCTACTTAATTTGACTTCAATTTGATCTTTATTTTTTAGTTTCTAAACTCTGAGTGTGTGTTTGTGTCTCATGTCTCTACATAACTTTTTGAACATATGGACTACAATTATAGTAACTGTTTAATGTCTTCTGCTAATTCTAACAATTGTGCCAGATCTGGATAAGTTTAGTTGGTTAATTTTTTTCCTCATTTTGCACTGTATTTTCCTGTTTCTTTTCAAGCTTGGTAATCTTTGGTTGCCAAACATTGTAAATTTTGCCTTGCCGGGTGCTGGATATTTTTGTACTTCTATAAATATTCTTGCACTTTGTTCTAAGATGTAGTTTGGTTATGGAAAGAGTTTAATTCACTGGGGTCTTGTTTTTAAGATTTATTAAGCAGAGTCAGATCTGTGTATAATCTGGAGTTAATTATTCCCTCCAACATAGGCATGACTCTTCTTAGAACTATTCCCAATTTCCAGCGAATTATGAAGTTTCAAAATCTAGATGGTGGGAATAGGTGCTATTTAAGGCTTTATGTGAGAAACTGTTTACTCTAATTTTTCAGATGGTTCTTTCTCTGACCTTTATTAGTTTTCTCATATGCATGTGTTGATCAGTATTCTGCTGAATACTTAGGTGAACCCTCTACAGATCTCCAGAGTTCTCTGTCTCTCTATAGCTCTGTCCTCTCTGGTCCTCAGTACCATGAACTATATTTTCTTGGCCTCCTTCAATGCTCAGCTCCATCTTGTTTGCCAAGATTCACCTGGATTTCCCCTTACTGCACTACAGCCTAGGAAAAGACAGAAAGCTGGGGGCAATCACAGGGCTCATCTCACATTTCTTTTTATATCCAGAGAATCACTGTGATTCATTGTCTGATGCCCAGCATTTTGAAAACTGTTCTTTATTTTTTTTCCAGGTTCAAGCAATTCTTGTGTCTCAGCCACCTGAGCAGCTGGGAATTCAGGTGCATGCCACCACACCTGGTTAATTATTGTATTTTTAGTAGAGATCGGGTTTTGCCATGTTAGCCAGGCTGGTCTCAAACCCCTGACCTCAAGTGATCCGTCCACCTCATCCTCCCAAAGTGCTGGGATTATAGGTGTAAGCCACTGCTCCCAGCTCTGTTTTTTAAATTTATTTTTGTTTTTTAAAAATTGTTTTCCTCAGAAGAGAAAATATGGTCCCTGTTATTCCATTTTGCAGAAGTGCAACATCCTCTGCCATGGCATTTAGTTACATTAACTCCATTCTATAATCTTAAGCTGCACCTTTACATAGGAGCAGCCAACTAGAAAATGCTAAATATAAGAGGAACCAGACTGGAAAATGTTGAAGACACTCACAAATCTATTATAGGTAGCAGAAAAAGAACCCAATATGAGCTATCTTACAGCCAGTATCATTGTTACACAATATGCACACATATTCAAACATATACCAATTAATTATTCAAAAATGGCAGCTGAATTTAATTTATTGAGATTTATTATTTTATATTCATCTGAACAGCTATTTATTTTCAATTATTGGAAAAACACTTCTTGAAGTTTCAAGTACTTTTTAGTTTGTTTTGTTTTGTTTTGTTTTTTTATCAATTTGTTTTTTTACAAATAGGATTATTGCCTTTACTTCTGTGGGGTCTTTGTAAGGTCTTACACAACATCTGACAATATTCATTGATGAAATTTCTACAATATAATGAGAAAAGACTGGTGATTTTCTAGCCAACCTAGGTTCTGAAAAACTCTTGAAAAACTAGGCCATATGTGAATAAGACTGCTAGATGACTTTCACTTTTAGCAATAATGCAATTAACTAATGTATTTTCTAAACTTTTATGAAGTCTCACAAAAAGTTACAAAAATATAGAAAAGTCTGAAAGATAAAAGGTGTATTAGTCTACTTTTTTACTACTATGAAGAAATACCCAAGACTGGGTAATTTACAGAGAAAAAGAGGTTTAATAGACTCACAGTCCCCATGGCTAGGGAGGCCTCAAAATTTTCACAGAAGGTGAAGGAGTAGCAAAGGCACATCTTACATGGTAGCAGGCAAGAGAACATGTTTAGAGGAACTGCCCTTTATAAAACCATCAGATTTCATGAGACTTATTCACTACCATGAGAACAGGAGGGGAAAATCCACCCCTACGATTAAATTACCTCTCACTGGGTCTCTCCTAGGATACATGGGAATTGTGGGAGCTACAATTCAAGATGAGATTTGGGTGGGGACAAAGCCAAATCGTATCATTCCATCCCCAGCCCCTCCCACATCTCATGTCATCACATTTCAAAACCAACCATGCCTTCCCAAGAGTCCCCCCTAGTGTTATCCCATTTCAGCATTTACTCAAAAGTCTATATCCAAAGTCTCATCTGAGACGAGGCAAGTTCCTTCTGCCTATGAGCCCGTTAAATCAAAAGCAAGTTAGTTACTTCCTGGATACAATAGGAGTACAGGTATTGGGTAAATACAGCCATTCCAAATGGGAGAAATTGACTAAAATGAAGAGGCTGCAGGCCCCGTGCAAGTCAAAAATCCAATGGGGCAGTCAAATCTTAAAACTCCAAAATTATCTCCTTTGACTCCATGTTTCACATCCAGGTCATGCTGATACAAGAGGTGGGCTCCCACAGCCTCGGATAGCTCTGTCCCTGTGGCTTTGCAGGGTACAGCCTCCCTCCTGGCTGCTTTCCTGGGCTGGCATTGCGTGTCTGTGGCTTTTTCAGGTGCACAGTTCAAGCTTTCAGTGGATCTACCATTCTGGGATCTGGAAGATGGTGGCTCTCTTCTCACAGCTCCACAAGGAAGTATCCCAATAGGGACTCTGTGTGGAGGCTCTCACCCTACATTTGCCTTCTGCAGTGCCCTAGCAGAGGTTCTCCATGAGGGCTCCACCCCTGCAGCACACCTCTGCCTGGACATCCAGCTGTTTCCATACATCCTCTGAAAACTAGGCAGAGGTTCCCAAAACTCAATTCTCAACTTCTGTGCACTCACAGGACCAACACCACATGGAAGCTATCAAGGCTTTGTGATTTGCACTTTCTGAAGCAATGACCTGAGCTGTACCTTGGCCACTTTTAGCCATGACTGGAGCATGTGGGACACAGGGCACCAAGTCCCTAGGCTGCACACAGGAAGGAAGTCCTGAACCAGGCCCACAAAATCATTTTTTCCTCCCAGGTCCCTAAGCCTGTGATGGGAGGGGCTGTTGTGAAGTTCTCTCATATGCCCTGGAGACATTTTCCCCATTGTCTTGGGGATTACCCTTTGGTTCCTCGTTACTTATGCAAATTTCTGCAGTGGCTTGAATTTCTCCCCAGGAAATGGACTTTTTGTTCTACCACATCATCAAGCTGCAAATTTTCCAAATTTTTATGCCCTGTTACTTCTTGAACACTTTGCTGCTTAGAAATTTCTTCCACCAGATACCCTAAATCATCTCTCCACAGATCTCTAGGGTGGGGGCAAAATGCAGCACATCTCTTTGCATAATAAGAGTGACCTTTACTCCAGTTTCCAACAAATTCCTCATCTCAATCTGAGACCACCTTAGCCTGGATTTTATTGTCCATATTACTATCAGCATTATGGTGAAAGCCATTCAACAAGTCTCTAGGAAGTTCCAAACTTTCCCACATCTTCCTGTCTTCTTCTGAGCTCTCCAAATTGTTCCAACCTCTGCCTGTTACCCAGTTCCAATGTTGCCTCCACATTTTCAGGTATCTTAATAGCAGTACTCTACTCTACCAGTACCAATTTACTGTATTAGTCCATTTTTATACTGCTATGAAGAAATACCCAAGGCTGAGTAATTTATAAAGAAAAAGAGGTTTAATGGACTCACAGTTTCCATGGCTAAGGACGCCTCACAATCATCACAGAAGGTGAAGGCGGAGCAAAGGCACATTTACATGGCAGCAAGCAAGACAGCATGTGCAGGGGAACTACCCTTTATACAACCATCAGATCTCATGAGACTTATTCACTATCACAAGAACAACACAGGAAAACCCACCCCTATAATTTAATTACCTCCCATCAGGTCCTTCCCACAACACGTGGGGATTATAAGAGCTACAATTCAAGATGAGACTTGGGTGAGTACACAGGCAAACTGTATCAAAAGGTGACTCAGAGACTTCACAAAAGATGAAAAATTTTATATTACATTCTTCAAGTAATTAGTAGTTGACCATAATAACAATAAACTTGAGATTACAAGAAATATTCTATACGAATTTTTCAAGAATACTTAGAGAAACAGAATCTACAAACAAGTATGTAAATTAAGGATCCAGCTCAGTGGAAGAAATTTTAATAAGTGCATTTTTGAATAAATTTTTTCTGAAAAGTAATTTAAACTTAATTTGGTTAACTTTAGAAACTGTTCATTAGGCCATTTTTATTACCAAAAAAAAAAAAAAAAACCCAGAATTTTTTTCTTAATATGGCAGAACAATACAACATTTGATTAAAATGTTAAGTCCCTAGCTTATGTTGCTGTAACAGAGTTCAATTAAATTTTTCCTGAAGTTCATTAATATTGCCAATACTTGAGTTTCAGTCATTTGAACCAGGATATCTGTTTGCTTCTCTTAATATAATAAAGCAATTACCTCTCACATCCTTTGCAATGATGACATCTATGTACACTCCTTGCAAAGATGGCAAATGACCTGCCAGAAACATATAGTCCTATATAATCTCTGCAGACCCAAAGTTGCTCCCTTATTCATGATCTTAGCTCTGGTGTAAAGAGACCTTCAAAAAATTAACATAAAGAGGAAAATAAAATCAATGGATTTTCTTCTACTATTTCTCTAACTACATTTCTCTAACCAATTTTCTTGCCAAACATAGGAGTAGCTTTAGAACAATTAATGTATAGAGTCTTGAAAGACTGAGGCAGAAATTAATAGTTTATACTACAATATTCATTGAATAGAGAATACTTTTAATTACTAGATCTTCAACTGGAGCATCTAGGTAGACACATTGGGATTCATCAAGGAAACAACTTGGCCTAAGAAGAATGGAGAGGAGCAAGACAGGATGACCACCCACCCAAGACTATCACAAAGCCAGGGGAGGCTTCCTCAACATGGGAAAATGATGAATGAGTAAGAGTCCTTGGGCACCCACAATTCTTCCATGGACCTTTGCAACCCTGAACTCAGGAGATGCCCAGTGAGCCCCCAACCAGGGGCCCCAGACCAACACAGAGAGCTATGTGGAGTGTGGGCAGAGCTGCCACTCAGGCACATGCAGAGTCCCTAGAGCCTTGACTCCCTGGACATCCCAGAATTAGTGATGGCAACTCTGGCTGTGGAGGAGGACAGGCTCTCTCACATGCCCCAGGAAAAGAACGAAATCCAGGGTCTTGAGCAGCAATGGACTGCAAGCCTCACTTCCACTGCATCTCACAGGCTAAGGCGCACCTGCCTGGGTCTCCAGCCACCAACCCTCTGGGTTCTCAGCAGATAACAGCTCTGTACTTCCTTGGGATGAAGCTCCCAGAAAGAGAGGCTGGCCAGCATTTTTGCTGTCTTGCAGCCCCCGCCTCCATAGCCTTCAGTCTCCAGTAGTGATTACGGAGAGGCGTGGATCTCCATTGCAGTGTAGCCATCCCATGGAAAAGCAGTCAGGCTATTTTTTATGTGGCTCCCAAATGGCTCCTCCTTCTCCTCATGGGGCAAGACCTACTAAACTGGGACTCCAGCCACATCCAACCAAGGATCTTGGGCCAGTAGCAGCTCTGCACCTTCCTGGGACAGAGCTCTGAAAGTGAGAAGCCAGATGCCATTCTTGCTGTCTCACAGCCCTTGCCACTATACCCTGTGAGTTCTGGGGAGTATGTGGTGAGTAGGCAGTGGCATGGCTCCCCAGCACAGTGCAGCCACCCCATAGAAAAGTGGATAGACTGTTTTCCATGTGGGTTTCTGTCCTTGCTTTTCTTCACTGGGTGGGACCTCCCAACTCCAGCACAATTCCCTTGCTCCCCCTTGAACATTTCAGTCAGAAGCAGCTCTGCATTTCTCTGAAAAGGAATTCCCAGAGAGAATCCACAACACCTCTGCCACTGCAGCTGCAATGGTACTGCCCTAACCACCCTTGGGTGAGAGAAGAAATAAAGAGCCTAATTGTTATTCTGGCACCACCAATATATGGTAGCTCATGTGAAAAGGAGTCCAGTCTCTCTTCCCTGTGAGCCCTCACCTTCTCCCCTCACCAGGCAGGGTCTCTGCCTTGGTACCAAGAACAACTACCCCATCCCTGGCTGAACATTCCCACTGCTAGTGGCTCTGTGTTTCCCTAAGAGGCTCCCAGAGGCAAGTGACAGTGCCTCTACTACGGCCACAACAATGGTCCTGCCCCTGCTGCCCTTGATCTAAGAAGAAACAAAGACTTTGAGGAGTTCACCTGAACTTCCAGAACACTACAGTCGGCATACAGAGAGAAGAACAGTCTCTTCTCCCTGTGAGCCCTCGTTGCCCCACTTTTCACCAAGCAGAGCCCACAACTTGGGTCAGTAGAGCAACTGCCCTACCCCTTGACTGAATATTCCCAGTAGCAGCAACTCCTTGTTTCTCTGAGGTGTAGCTCCCAGAGGCAACTGAAAGCCCCACTACAACTTCCACTGCAGTGGTACTGCCCTTGCTCTCAGATCAGAGAAGAAGCACAGACCCTGAGTGCTTTACACACACATTCAGCAAGATGCAGCCACCCTAACGAGGAGAGGAAGCCTGTCTTCCCCAGGTCTCCCCGCTACACCACCCTGCTGCCACTAGTCACCAGGCAAGGCTCTCCCAGTTTGGGCCTAGCAGAGATGCCCCATCCTGGACCAATCACACTGATTGATAGTGGCTCCATATCTCTCTGTGGTGGACCCCCAAGAGACAAGTGAAAGACCCTATGCCACAACTACTTCTAGGGTCCCTTCTCCTGCTGCTTCCAAGTTGGGGAGGGAACAGAAAGCCTGAGATCACCCCAGAGCTGTGGTGTGTAACCTGGGAGTACCAAGCTGAGATCTGAAACCAGCACTCAAGTGAGAGATGAGCCCACACTTCAGGAGCATTGAGAGGGAGCATGACTGAAATCATGAGGAAATACAGAGAAGTCATATGACTGTGCAAGAGTCTACTGACTGGCCATTATGCTTAAGTGCCATCTACTGGATCATAGTCCAAAATATCAACACCAAAAACACTTTACAATATACCCCCCTGTGAAACCAAAGACAATAATTCATCTGCAAATAAACAGCCTGCACAAAGTCTCGGCCTTCTGAAACCATCTAGAAAAGAAGTCTACTGACTGTACTGAATTTATGCCACAGTTAAAGGAACACCAGCTCACACAGATGAGAAAAAAGTAGTGCAAAAACTCTCACAACTCAAAAAGCCAGAGTAACTTCTTTTCTCCAAATGACCACACTAGTTCCCCAGCAAGGGTGGTTCTAAGGCTGAAATGGCTGAAATGACAGAAATAGAATTCAGAATAAGGATAAAAACAAAGTTGATCAACATTCATGAGAACACAGAAAGCCAAGGAAGAAAAAAAAAAAAAAACAAGCCATTAAGAACCAAACTGATTTGAGAGTGAGAGAGCTATAAAACAAAGTAAAAGAATTACATAATGAAATTGCAAGTATTAACAGCAGAATAGACCAAGCTGAGGAAAGAATCTCAGAGCTTGAAGACTGACTCTGCAATAGCTCAGAAAAAAATGAAGAAAAAAGGATAAAAAAGAATAAACAGAACCTCTGAGAAATATGGGATTATGTAGAGACCAAACCTGTAACTCATTGACATTCCTGAAAGAGATGGGGAGAAAGCAGGCAACTTGGAAAATATTTTTAGAATATTATCCATGAAAACTTCCCCACCCTTGCTAGACAGACCAATATTCAAATTCAGAAAATGCAGAGAACCCCTGGGAGAACCATCTCCAAGACACAATAATGAGATTTTACAAAGTCAAAATGAGAGAACAAAATGTTAAAGGAAGCTAGAGGGAAGGGGCAGGTCACCTACAAAGGGAAGCTCATCGGGCTAACAGCTGGCCTTTCAGGAGAAACACTACAAGCCAGAAAGAGATTCAGAGTTTATATTCAGCATTCTTAAAGAAAATAATTTCCAACCAGGAATTTTGTATCCTGCCAAACTGAGCTTCGTAAGTGAAGGAGAAATAAGATCCTTACAGGAAAGCAAATGCTGAGCAAAAGCAAATGCTCACCAAACCTGCCTTACAAGAGGTCCTGAAAAGTGCCCTAAATATGAAAAGAAAAGATGATTACCAGTCACTAAAAAAACACACATAAGTACACAGACCAATGATACCATAAAGCAATCACACAAACCAGTCAACCTCATAACAATACAATAATGGGATCAAATCTGCACATATCAGTATTAACCTCATATGTAAACAGGCTAAATGCCCCAATTAAAAGACACAGTTGCATGCTGGATAAAGAAGCAAAACCCAATGGTATGATATCACCAAGAGACCAATCTTATATGCAGTGACACCCATAGTCTCAAAATAAAGGGATGGAGAAAAATCTACCAAGCAAATGGAGAACAGGAAAAGCAGGGATTGGTATCCTAATTTTAGATAAAATGGGCTTTAAATCAACAAAGATTTTTAAAAGATAAAGAAGAGCATTATACTGGATGAGTGCAAAAGTAATTGCAGTTTTTGCATTGCTGGAAATTGCTGTTTGATATTATTACTAAATAAATGTGGTTATGTTATACATCATTTTAATGGGCATTTCTCGCCTTGTGGTTTTTTGCTAATGACTTATTACTTGCTGTTTATTTCATGTTTATTTTAGGCTATGGAAATGATGTTAGACTAAAAGAAAGTTTGAGTGATTTTTTTATTCAAGTTTATGGGTCATAAAGCAATGGAGACAACTTACAACATCAACACCATATTTGACCCAGGAACTGCTAACAAATGTACAGTTCAGTGGTGATTCAAGAAGTTTTTCAAAGGATATGGTAAATTGAGTGTGATCATCAAAGCTGATCCTCTCACACTACACAAGAAGTTGCCGAAGAACTCAATATCAACCATTCTATGATCGTTCAGCATTTGAAGCAAATTGGAAAGGTGAAAAAGCTGCATAAGTACCCAGTTATTGATGCCTCATGAGCCGAACAAAAATAAAAAAACTTGTCATTTTGAAATGTCATCTTCTCTTATTCTGCACAGCAACAATGAGCCATTTCTCAATTGGATTGTGACGTGTGACAAAAAGTGGATTTTATACAATAATCGGCAATGACCAGCTCAGTGGTTGGACCGATAAGAAGCTCCAAAGAACTTCCCAAAGCCAAGCTTGCACCAAAACGAGGTCATGGTCACTGTTTGGTGGTCTGCTGCCAGTTTGATCTACTACAGCTTTCTGAATCCCATTGAAACCATTATATGAGAAGTAAGCTCAGTAAATTGATGAGATGCACTGAAAACTCTATCGCCTGCAGCCAGCATTGGTCAACAGAAAGGGGCCGATTCTTCTCCATGACAACATCCGACTGCATGTTTTCCAACCATCACTTCGAAAGTTGAACAAACTGGGCTATGAAATTTGCTTCATCTCCCATATTGACCTTACCTTTCACCAACCAACTACCACGTCTTCAAGCATCCCGACAACTTTTTGCAGGGAAAATGCTTTCACAACAAGCAAGATGCAGAAAATGCTTTCCAAGAGTTTGTCAAATCCCAAAGCACAGATTTTTACACTACAGGAATAAACAAACTTATTTCTCATTGGCAAAAATGTGTTGATTATAATGGTTCCTATTTTGATTAGTAAATATGTGTTTGAGCTTAGTTATACTGATCTAAAATTCATGGTCTGAAACCACAATGACCATTGCACCAATAATGGTAAAGGATTCAGTTCAAAAAGAATATCTAACTATCCTGAATATATACACACCCAACATAGCACCCAGATTAATAAAGCAAATTCTTAGAGATTTATGAAGAGACTTAGATGCCCACACA